AAATATGAAAAACTCCATGATGAGTTTGTTATGCATACATGAATTGATGACAATTAACCGAACTTGTTTTTTAAAATAAAGGGGATATCTGTCAAAAATAAGCAAAACTTTTACTTCTTCCTAGTTGCATAAAATTTTGCATATTTTGGATATGAAATTGCCGTAGACACAACTTTTTCGAGTAACTTTTTGTTAAATTCGATCTAGAAATGCACTTTTTTAATTTTTTTCAAAAATAAAGTTGACAAACACTGAACGTCAGTGGGTCGCAGTTGGCCGCATCATTTCAAGTTAAATTCAAAGCACAAACAAGTGCCGAAGTTGAACTTCATTGAAACCCTTCAAAAAAAATGTTTTCCATATGGTGCGCACTTTAATGGTGACACTGTATATTTCAAAGTTCCCTCGTCCCTGAACACGCTATATGACTGTCTCAATACTAACGCCAGTGATACCAATAATGCCTTCATAGCATGTTGCAGTCTCAGTATTTCTTCTCTCTCAATGAATTCATCTTTTCTCTCTCTCTCTCTCTCTCTTTTATTTGAAGTGCCACCCGTTACGATCGAACAATCATTAAAGGGGATATAACTTGGTGCTTCTTCGGATAGCCACAATCTTCAATTTCTCTTTATCAATAAATTCATCTCTCACACTTCATCTCTCACAAATAAATTCACTAGAGCCAACAATCTACGCTTCCACGACCACAAAAACACCTTTGACTTGTAAGAGCTATCAATATGTTCACCAAATGAATGTCATTGTCAACCGATTGATTTACCCCAATCCACCGCGCATCGTCCAGGAACTTACATTTTTTTTTCAGATATTAAATTTGACTCAACTCACTAAAGTTCAGCACCCAGCCGCGTCTATTGCCCAGGACCTCACAATTTGTTCTCAATTGTAAACCCAACATATTACGTAACTTCACCCGCCAATCACAATCTGCCTAATTGTTCTAATTATTAACGTGACACTCTCCTGCCAATCACAATCAGAAAACCGTATGCGAGTTCGAGACCACCGAAAGCAGAACTGTCATTGACTATCTTCTTTTTTCCGTTGTTACACCTCTATGTATTCCAACAATTCCCCAAATTTCATAACCATCTGTGGGTTGAGTTACTTCTCGCTTCTGAGCCAATGAATAGTTNAACACAATGAATATTCAACTGTCTTCAATATTTTCATGATGACGCAACATTGAAAACGGGTATATTTTCAGGATAGAATAATTGTTGGAAAAGGATGGTTTTGGCTTTCTATTTTTCCATTTTCATATAAAAATATGGGAATCATCCAAAGAGAGGAACTGTATAATTTCATGTGTATTCTGAAAAAATGAGAAAATATATTTCAAAAAGTTTGTTCAAGAAGGTTAGCCTATTTCTCAACACATTTTCAGACTGATCCTCATTTCGTTAATGATTAACAAAATGTTTCAAAAATGCTGCATTCACTCATTGGTTTCTCCTGTTATTTTCAGAAATTCGCTACTAGATGAACATGAAAATGTGTCAATACTTTTTGCTGACATCGTAAATTATACAGAAATGACAACACAATTGGATATAACGGGTTTATTAGAAACTCTCAACGACTTATTTGGAGCATTTGACGATGCATCAGTGGTGAGTGGACTCATTTGTGTTACCATTGTTTAATGTTTATACGAAACAAAAAAAATCATAAAAAAATCATATTTCTTGTGGAAAATTATTTGTTTGGAGGATAACTAAATTCAGCCATGGTTTGAAAATTCTTAGAAACTCAAGCCCTAACGTCAAATGACTGAGGATATTCTCACGCATTGTTTTGCAGAAAGTGAAAAAGTCTCATAAAGAACCAGAATCATTCAAGAGCAACTGATTATGATCAATTGATATTTGTGTCTTGAATCATGAAAAGTTGATAATCACAAACGAAATCATATATAAGGGTGATTTTGCTTTTAACAACAAAATTATCACAAATTGTCAAAATGAAACTAGTTACAAAAAGGATATCCCGAAACGCACACGTTTTTCCATAATATTATGTTGTTGCTTTAAATATTCGCCACAAATATAAATGAAACTCTCAGTCGAATTCACACACTTCCGCACAGACGACATTGCACAATATTGAATTAAGATTCATAAAACAATGACTAGTTGATACGGAACTGCAATAAAAATAAAATTGTACCTATTCATTTATGACTTCAAGTTCAATGAATGTATGGTGAAACTGAATCTTTGGCGTGAAACAAATTCAATTCAAACACACACAATAACTGCAACTTCTCTTCCTATGAAAGTTGAAAGAATACTTTATCTACAGAACAATCCTACTGATGATGCCAACATGATTGGTGAAAGGCACATCGTGAAGAGTGTTGCAGCTCTGGTGTGTAGGAGAAGTGTTTGTGTTGGATTCAACAAATTCAGTATGTATCGAATAGATAAAACGAGAGTACAAATATCATCATGATCCTGAAATGAATAGATCTTACTACCTGTTTTTTTTTCTCTATCCAAGACGAAAATTTCCATATTGTCAACACATTTATTCATACTATGAAACGAAAATACATGTTTCACACTTCTATTCCAGAAACTGAAAGTAACCAGGATAAAATTTCTTGGAGACTGTTATTACTGCGTGGCTGGTTTGCCACCTGATGCGGCACCAAATCCAGCAGAGGCATGTGTGGATCTGGGACTGGAGATGATATCAACTATAGCCAAGATTAGGTGAGTACAAGTGAAAGATGTCAATGTTTCACTAAATTCTGACGAATCTACATTACATACCTTGAATGCTAACCGCGATTTCAGGTTTCTTTACTGCTCAGCAAACACTGGGCAGAAACCGTTAAGTACTACCGAAGTAGCTCTATGAAAAAAAGGTGATACCATGCACACAGTCTATACACCTCACATATGCTGTTGAATATCTGCCACATTTTGTTCGAAAATGGAATAACTGAATAATTCAAATATGTGCGGAGAGATTGGTAGAATCCTTTTAGATCCACCTCCTCTCCCCATTTTTCTGGAGAGAGAGGCTAGATAGACTGCATATACATAGACTTGTGCAGGTTGACATTTGCACAAATCGATTTGAAGCAGAGTGCAACAGACTCTTGGTTGACACTGGTAGTCACAGCATTCTGGAAATGACCTCTGACTTCATGCCCCCAACTGTTAACTACGAACTGCCTTATAAAGTACTATTCCCGAGAAGAGAGGACTGGATCCTGCGGAAGAGGGAAATATTAAGAGCAGATAGTTGTTGATTCACAGATGGATCGAAAACACATTCCGGTTCTGCTGCACCTGTTTTCAGTCACAGACCCAGGACAGAGATATCACCCTGCCTAGGAATCTATGCGACTGTATTTCAAGCGGAAATTTACGCTATTGAACTGTGTGCGGAGAGATTGAAAGAATCCAACCTCAACACAAGTCAATAAAAATATTTTCAGGCGGTCAAGCAGCGTTGAATACTTTTGGCTCCTACCGAGCAACATCAAACTTGATAGCGAATCGCCAAAAACAACTCTTTTCGATAGAATGACTAAACAGTTTGTATCTGGTCTGGATTCCTGGCCATACTGGTCTAGAAGGCATTGAGGCTGCTGACTCCTTTGCAAAGAAGGGTTTTTTTTGGTACCTTGGGAGATGTCTGACTCGTCCATTTAGTCCAAGTCTCCAAGAAAACACTACAGCCTCTTGGGCCCACTGAGTTTATTCTCATGACACCCCATTTCATCAGTCTCGTTCCCTGTACTTGTTTGTACAGGTCCCGTGTTGGATGTTGGTCATTTTCTTCTGGACGTAATTTCGTACGTCCATATATTGCCTGCCTCCTGTGATTCAATGCTTCACATTCGCATAATATGTGTAGAGCTGTTTCTATCTCTTTGTTGCATAATCTGCAGCTGAGGTCTCCGTTGTACAGCCCCATTTTATTCAGGTATCCTCTAAGTTGACAATGACCGGTTAGTAACCCTGTAATTATTCTGAACCGACCCCTACTATATTGAAGTAGTTCTTCGATTCTTTTCTCAGACGGTTCCCTAATGAAGGTTCTACTGTGTTTGTTACCAGGTACTTTTGTCCAGTACTCTGTGTGCTTCTTATTGGTCCATGTTCTAATCTGGTTTCGTATCAATGTTTTGGTACCCCCCGAGCTGGTTCAGGATCTATATTTGAAGTTGATGATCCGCGTCTAGCGCATTCATTAGCTTTATCATTACCTGTGATTCCTAAATGCCCTAACACCCAGTACAAAGTTGATTTGTTCCTGTTTGCAAGTTCATTCAGTTCTTCATGGCATTCCCAGGCCAGTTTTGATGTCATCTTCGGGTTTGTCAGAGCCCCTCTCTTGCTGTCTGTAAAAATATTGATCCGCTCATTTCTTTGCGGTCTCAATTTGATAAGCCTTGCACACTGCAAGATAGCATACACTTTCGCCTGAAAGATGGATGTGTATAGTCCTAGCGGATAGTTGTAGTCAAATTTCTATCCGCTCGCTATATTCTAGCTCCTGTTCCATGTTTGGTCTCCGATCCATCTGTATACCAGGTGTTTTTTCCAAACATGTTTTCGGGATGACTAATGGTTTTCCACTCTTCCCAGCTCATGATTTTGACCGTGAAGTTCGTGTTGAAGGTGTACTTTGGTGTCATGTGGTCTGCAGACATATTCAATATGTGCTCCTCCACTTGCCTCTTTCTGTTCGGTCCGATCTTTTGTAGTTCGGTGAGTTTTCCAGTCTGAATTAGCCCATCCTGGCCTTCCCCATTATCACAAAGTGTAAAGGAGGTACATTCAGGAGAGTCTCCAATTCAGCTGTTGGGGTAGTTCTCATTGCTGCCGTCATTACCAAACATGCAAGTCTTTGCATCGTGCCTAATTTGTTGATGGCGGTCGCCTGCTTCATCTTTGGCCACCAGACCACAAATGCGTATGTTATCATGGGTTTAACCACCATCGTGTATAGCCAATATACCATGTCTGGTTTTAACCCCTATGTTTTTCCATAGGTGCGTCTGACCAGCATCACTGCTACCTCCGCTACCTCCGCTTGCTACCTCTTTATCCTGTCCACGTGTTGGTTTCAGGTCAGTTTGGAATCTAGGATTACTCCCAGATATTTAACCTTGTATTGTATTGTATTTCTTGTATTTCTTCACCTCGAAGGTTGAGAGGTCCGATACCCTCCGTTTTAGTCCTCTTGGTGAATGTTACTATGATCGATTTGGATGAGCTTATGTTAAGCCCTTCTTCTTCGTTTCATCTTGTTATAATATTCAGGACCTGCTGCATGCATCCCTTCACTACATTATTGTATTTATCCTGGACTAACATGACTAAGTCGTCTGCATAGCCCAGTGCTTTATACCCATTACGGTCCAGGAGACATAGTAGCTCGTCCATTACAAGGTTCCATAACAGAGGGGATAGAACCCCCCCTTTTTCTCCTACAAATTATTCTCTCCTGAAAATATACCTCTTTCAATTGACACCTCGATGGCGTTTCCAAATAATTGTTTATCAACAGAGATAAAAATATGTCTAAAGACTGTATCTTAGAGAGATAGTAACTGTATATCCCGTGGGTTTGCCAATAATGGACTACACTGAACAATCAAACCCAACTTCATTCCACTGTTACATTGACAACACAACCAAACACTTCAACTGAAACTTCAAACTAATATTCCGCCTCATTGGAACACTTCGCAAAGCACTGTCTACTAGACTTTCCGATATGCTAGTGGATGGTATTTATATATGCTATTGAAGGCTTGTGATGCCGATATAACTGTTCTCGAAGCCAAATGGAAAGTCGCTGGAAGTATTTTGAAGCAACGCAAAAACTAGAACACTCGCATAGAACCAGTCGAGTTGAGCGCAAACTTGGTCACGTCACAATTGATTTACGATGTTCATCGGCGGCCGGAGTTATTTGTTTTCGGGGGATGGTTTACCACAATACGTATTCAATTGTTAGAGTAATGCTACATGAAATGTTTCTTTCCGTTTGGAACTTTGTTTACGAGATGGATCTGTAGTTAGTTAACAATCTTTCTTTCAGACGAAGATATCACACATGCAGTTGAGTCGCGTTGAAATCAATCAAGCTCCAATTACTTTGTTGTTTGGGTTGACTTTTTTCTGCACTGATGAGAGATAATATTTCGAAACCGATCTGTGGGTGATTTGCTCAAATAATTTCAGTATGATCCTGCTGTTGGTTGAACGAGTCTGTGATACTAACTTCTCTGTATGCCTATCTTTTCTCGATAGTTCTCAAACACGTTCTGATCTCTGTTAGAGTATTGGCACATAAGGTGTTTTTTCTCTATGAGATAGAGCTGTTACTAGTTATCAATAACATATACAAGGTGTTCCTTAAACACATGCTAATATTCAAGGAATTAATTCTTAGACCCATTTTAAGAAAAAAACTTCCTATGGACGTATGTCCTGAACGCCTTAACTTTTGAGATACAGGGTGGCAAAGTTTTCAAAAATAATCAGTTTTTTAATAATAATTAAGATAATTTTGTAGACATCTTTGGCATATTTGGTACATATGTTC